TTGACAGGCGGTCGGAACATCTAGATCCTCTGGAATTTCAAGAAATGCTTCAAAGCCTGGACAATGTGGGGAGGCCTCATCGCTACAAAACAAAAATGTAAAAGTTAGCCGGGTTCAGTGGCGTGGTCCTGTAGTACCACCTACTCTGGAGGCTGAGGCGGGAGGATCACTTGAGCATGGGAGGCCAAGGCTGGAGTCAGCTGTGATGAGGCCAGTGTACTCCACCCTGGGTGACAGCAAGATCCTGAGTGAAAATGGGGACCCCACGCAAGACACCCCCGCACTCTGCCTGCACGGGTGTAAGCTGAGTGTGACCTCCACCCCTAACCCTCCCTGTAACCCTAACCTTTAACCCTACGCTAACCCTCCCTAACCCTCACCTCCGCCCTTAGACTCAAACGTGACCTAACCAGACTCAAACGTGACCTAACCCTAACCCTAACCCGTTTTCTACCTCTGATCTGACTTCAAAGCGTCATCTGAAAATTTATGGTATTCCATTTTGCACTGTTAGAAAGAAGTCCCTAACTGTGGTTTACTGAGCCACGTGCAGAGGCTGGACTTTGGGAAGCGTGGCTGACGAGGCCACGGGGACCCCCAGCCACGTCAGGCCGCGAAGGGGAAGCCGGCAGGCCTGACGTGGGACAGAGAGAAAGGGGCGTACCCACACCTGTTACACCAGCCGAGCTCGGGAGGTCTCACGCCGTGTCTGCAGAACGGTAAGGGGGTCATTCCCCACATGATCCGGTCCCTTCCACCAGGCCCCACAGGCAGATACAATTCAACACGCGATGCGGGTGGAGCTCAGATCCAAACCATCCCACTGACGCTGTCCCGAAGCCTCGGCCTGACCCTGCCCACATAGTCCTTCTCCGCCCTTGCAGGCCACACAGAGAGCACGGTTTCACGCTTCCAGATCACCCCCAGACCCCTCAGTTTCTCCCCTCAGGACCACCCCGAGATCGCACTGCCCTTCCCCTGGGGATCACCCTCAGATGCCCTACTCCCCTGGGGATCACCCCCAGATGCCCTTGCTTTCCCCTCGGGACCACCCCCAGATGCCCCCCTCCCCTGGGAATCACCCCCAGATGCCCCTCCTCCCCTGGGAATCACCCCCAGATGCCCCTCCTCCCCTGGGGATCATCCCCCGTT